TCAGATTTAATCAGATTAAAGATTAATATTAAAATAATATTTTCGAAATATTTCAACTTTATGCAATCAAAGCGCAAGTTGGTTATTGATACACTCTCATATTACTTGATTAAACTTGTAAGAAAATTAATCAAGGATTAATTTTGCGAATTTTTTTATTGTTTATCAAACCATAGCAACAACAATTATTATTAAGATATAAGTTACACGTGTGCATATAAAGAGAAAAACATTTCAATTGTGCACATTTTACATTAGCTTTATAATGGAAAACGGAAAGCGTTATCGATACGCATCTTGATGTAACAGCTAATTTCTTTTTACAAAAATGATATTTATTATTTTTCAAAATTATTGTGCACAGGTATCGTCATTGTGATGTGTATGATTATGTCTAAAGACGTAAACTGTACTGTTTGCGTCATTTGTTGCTAAATTAAATTAGTGCGTGCGACCGTGACGCTCGAGGGCTTCCAACTAATTTGTTAACGAGGGACATAGCAGGATGTGAAGCCTCACCGATTATTTCATCAGTCAATATTACATATCTAACAAAGTATATTGAATTCTCGTGACGATATCGTCGTACGATCATATGTCGTAATGTTAACAAATTACTATTTTTTAAAATGTACTCTTATACATATAAAAAAAAATTTTTGTACAAACACACGACATTAATGGGATAAATAGAAAAATGTATATTCGAATTTCACTTTATTGCTACAAAAAAGAAGTTACATATAACGAGCTAAAGATGAATCGAAGAAAAAGGATAATGCGCTCATATGCGTTACCGTCGATTATCACATATTAAATGGTTCATGATAGTTCTTATTTTTCTAAATAATGTACAAGCTTGTGTACACGCGTACACGTTATATTCATCGCATATATATATATATATTTTTAAATATCTAATTATTTGAATTTTTTTACAGAACGTTTTTATTAATGTAGACATTGTAAGATCCAATTAAGATTTAGTTATTAAGATCGTGTCAAAAAATTCCTGATTTTCCTCTATCTTAAAGGCAGTGTCGAGTAAACATTTATCAACAGTATTCATGAACTCTTTATATTTTATGACCTATTGTTCAATTCTGTGAATAATAGAAATAACAGTTACAGATGTACGAAACTGGTGACGAATAATGATAATGCTAATTTTTTTACAGTGTCATGTGAAGTGTCGTACAAATTTCACGGACAAGTCTCTTTAAGGATCTTTTAACAGGTATGTATATAAGAAAAACGCCTGTTCGCAGAAAATTACAAAATTCTTATGTTCCTGCATACATAATATCAATAGAATAATTAAAGAAAATCGAGCAATATTTAGCAATTATTATCAGTTGTTGCATGCCTCTCTCTCTCTCTCTCTCTAATGGATTAATCTATTACAATTATTATTATCCTAATCTTTATCATATAAACTTTAAATTGAAGTAACATCTTTGAACAATGTTTGCCAAATATCGCCTCAGTGTAAAAAAGAAGTGAACAACACGGCAGTGCGCAAGAATTAAATTTTATATTATATAACTCTTGTTATGTATAGATCTGTTATATTTTATCCATTTCTCATCTTAATCGTTGTTCAATGGCAAGCCCCTAAATAAAACTCATAGATATTCCTAAAGGAACGTTCGAAATCTGTTCTTCAACTCTTGAGATCACATGCGTCCGTTTAAGTTACGTTTCTTATCATATACATATATAGTATACCTATACGAATTAGATTTCACGATATGTACTAATACTGCGCGGTACGTTGAGTTCTTTCCAATATTCGATTAATAAAAAGCAAATACCGATATTCACTTTCGGTATCTTTTGTAAATATTAAATTATGACTTTTGATTGTGATTGCTTTTATGAATAAAATATGTTATGACCAATTTTTTCTTAAGTATAAAAACACAATTTAACATTTCTCGGTTATTTATGCACGCAATGAATGAATTATTGAGAATTTACTGAATATAATTATATATATGTATATATACAAATTTTATCAAAAAGAATTTGAACTTCCTAACGAATATATATCCTTTGGAAAGATTCTCAAGAAGAGTATATTTCTAGAGAATATCATAATATTCATTTATAACAATACATATTATATATACATATATACGAATATACGTATATATATATATATATAGAGTAAACCTCATGACAAGTATCAAAATACATTCAACAAACGTTCGTTGCATTTATTTATTTGTCAATGAATTATAAAAATTGGTAAAAATCAGTGCACAAATAACCGAAGAATATTTGTATGAAAATATGTCTCAACGTAACCACATACAGGTAATATACATATATATGTCACCTTTATTATATATAAGAATCTTAAAAATAATAATATCCATGTATACTTAAATACTTGTCAATTGGCATGAAGATATAGCAAAAATGACAGCGTTAATAATATTAAAGTCAATGAAGAATATGAAGAACAAATGTCTATGACAAAGATGCTATGTTGTCCCAAAGCTATTTGCGAGCCGTGATACACAATGATCTTATTAGTATGAGTTATTATTTATGGAATAAGAAGAAAGATTAATGTTCAAAGCGCGCTATGGCAATCTTCATGCGTCGTTTCTTTGTTTGTCTATACTTGGATACAGTTGCTTATAATGATAAAGCCTTACTGACGGAACAACATTACGAACAACCTTGCAATAATCTTTTCGATTCTTATGAGAAGTATACATGTAATAAAGGGTGAATATACCCAAAATTGTTTGCACTATACTAATAGATTCAAACAGAATATTGCACCAGATTGCTAGCGGAAATCGAGCACATCATCTTTCGTAACCATTTAAATAGTATGTATATGTACCATTTTCCTGCATCAATCTGCTTATATTCTGTTAATTTTGTTATATTTCTGTTGCCATTTTGCCAATAAAATTTGTAGTAGACTTGGCTGCCTGCATATATATATGTACGTGTATATATACAATATACAATATGCTTATATGTATAATTACACATGCACGCACACATGCATGTACGCATATATATATTTTCATTTTGCAATATATATTGAATATAACAATACGTATGCAATATTGTATGCGTTCATTTTGATAATAGTGATGATATTATTACGCTTGTGGCATCATATGTATACCTTCTTTCTCATTCATACATATGTAATTATTAAAATATTATATAAATTAAAAAAACAGAAGAGTGGCGCTATATATTTTTTATTCTCATAAGAAGACTTG